AAGTTTAGCCATTTTCTCGGCCAGGGCTTTATTCTCAGCCGCAAGCTCTTCTTATTTGGACTGTTGCACATCTCGCTCACATCGAGCGTTCAGCCGTTCTCTCAGGTCTTCCCCGCGTATGGACGAGGATTTTACTGGGACTGCATCCCTCCTTCTCATGTTCTCCTGCGGTCGAGGGGGTATCCTTCGGCCGTTTTCTGCTTCGACCGCAGCCCTCTCTGTTGGAAAATTAATGGCATCGAGTGCGCAGCGAAATTTAAAAATTTTAATCAACGTCAAAGCCAAAACAAGAACATGTTCATGATGCTATATAACATAAATACTAAAGATCTAAAACATACCTTTTGAGATTTCAGGAAACTGCACGTCTGACAGATCTAAGCGTTCCAAACAGCAACCGGAAGAGCCTCAACCAACTGGTCTTCTTTGCTATTCTCGTTTCCACAATCGGTGTGCGGGTGGGCACGCGTCATTTAATCTCCTCTAGGTATTCTTGATCTCCTTCCAATCACAAGAGAGCCAAAGAAAAAATTGTTCTTGAGAATTAAACAATTTTTCCTCTCAGGAATCTTTTATCAATAGCCTCCAAAAAATCTCTCAAGTGATCTAATGAGTAATGTGACTTAATAGGCTATTTATAGTGTTTTGGAAGTCATAATTCTGTAACAATTAGGTCTCCCAAAGTTCTAATCACATCCAGAGTCGATTTTCCCCCGTCAGCATGCATTTTACGTTACAACCGGCCGACCGGTGACAGAGACATTATACCTCACCGGTCGCCCTGTCTTCACTAACCGGTCGACCGGACCGGTCGACCTGTGACTGGTCTACCCAACCGGTCAACCTGTCTGCACTGACGAAAGTTGTTTTTCCTAGTTTTTCAATACGGGAAACTTGCATAGAGCCTCAGTTTTGATTCAAGCAACCCAATAGAGAAATTGCCTGATCAAAACAGTCATATAATAGTCTTTCCATATTAAACAACTCTTAAAACAATAATTCAACCAATTTATCTAGAATTAATTTATCAGTTAATTCACCCATGAATTAACTTTGAACCTCTCGTTACGGAAATAACATAAGTTACCAATGTGTAGGAAATACACCGTATCGTTACAGGAAATTATGTGAGCTAGCAAAGGGACCCGATGGACATATATAAATCAAGCTCCTATAATCACAACGCTACTTGTAAACCAACAAGTCCGTCTCATGATTATAAAACTCTAGCGCTATTCCACTAAAAGCCTAGAGCTGCACTCTCGATTTATATAGCGTATTTACAAAGCTCTGATTAGCTCTAGTCCATGACTCAATATATTAGTGTATCATCCCCATAGGATATCCATAATCGACTTGAGGTCAAGTTCCGTTTTACCTTCCCGATTACATTTATCTTATGTTCCATTATCATACCATCAGAAAAATACTATTCGTATCATTACAAACAGTAAACCATTACATAACACAGAGTAGTCCAATGGCTGAACGTTCATATTTTCCAATCCACTGATAATGCATAAGAGGATATCATTGACTCTTTATAGGAGCTATGGATTCCACTATCTATGAATAACGAATCTACGCATACACGAGTCATACCCCTCATGTACCGGCAAGCGTACCTTTACATAATGTCAGGATGTCTCCCTTTAGTACATCAAAGGATACAAGTCAAGTATACAGGTTCATCATCCATCTCAGGATTAAGATGACAACATATAATTCATCAAAAGTGAATTATTTTATTCAAACAGAATTATTAATTAAAACAATTCAACTTTGGTCCGATCCAATATAGATTTTACCATTAGAAACTATATCAATGTCTCCACCCATGGAGTCCCACCTCCGACGACCAAGACAAGCCGTCTCCGTTAGGAAGTAGACAACATAACAATCTTAACATGAATAAAGCGCCCAACTTTATTCCCTCGATTATGGATCATAAGATTTAGACTATCATCTTTAGATTCTTGTCTTCCGCATGTTCTTCACATTACATGCATGACCTAAAGATTTAGAATGACAGTCTCAGACTTTCAGTTTGCTTATCATACATTCAACTATTATGAACATAAAGAGGACAATTCATAGATATATAAAATAAATAAATCTTTATTAATAGTCAAAATATCTCAAAGAATATTGTTACATTTATTCCTAAGGGCATAAACGCTAACACTCTCCTGGGCTCTCCTCCTGGCAGCTCGTTGCCTACTCCCCATAGATCTATTCGACCTGGCTGGGCGGGGGTTGTTGGCCCTACTGTCACCGACCCCCTCAGCGTCACCACGTCGGTCACCAACCACTTGGTTCCCAACGGCGGCGTTCACCGGGTTCATCGGCACGTCTTCTAGTGGTGGCATCGAGTCTGGCCTTTGTTGCCGTCTGGCGAGGGCCGTGGCCATCCTTTCTACGGCCACAACAAGTGTTTCTGCCTGCCTTTGAAGCTGGTCAAGGCGGTCTAGGGGGTTTCCAGCGGCCTATGGCTGCGCCCTATGGTTAGGCCATGCCCTTGCGGGTTCCTGGCCACCATTGGGCGGGTTCGCCGGATTCCTCCCTCCGTGGGCCGAGTTCTGGCCTTCTTGGCTTTTCTGGGTTACCATCATGCTGCGGGTCTTTCTCGGAGCCATACCACTGCTGGATTGATTTCTTGGGTTCCCAAGCCTTCCTTCTAGCGCCAATTGTTGATGGTGGATTTTAATCAACAAGAAATTATAACTCTCCGAGAACACTCGCACTAATCACTCACGTATTAATCAGGGGTTAATGCTGCTGAATAAGTAACTAAGACGAGAGTTTATAGTGGTTCGGCTTAAATTTATTTGTCTACATCCACTTGTGCATGCACTAATATGTTGTAGATTATAAGTTCTGTAGAAGTCTCTCAGTGAATGTGTAAAAAAAAACGTAATGAACTTTTGTGGCTCTATTTATAGGCCTTATACATGTGAGAAACCCCCTACACTTCCCGATGAAATCAATCTCTATCCCTTAATTTGGGGATTTGGCAGCTGGATTTCCCTGATTATTGGTTCTCGGTCAGGTTAACCACCCTTTACCCAATGTCTGATTTCCTAACTCCAACAGCGGCAGTAGGTGATACAGTGTATCTTCCCCAGAACTGACAGCGGATTTGACCGAGCTGATGTCTCGACGTCGGGTCCTCACCACATGGGCTGGGCCTTCGACGCGCGTCAGCGCACGTGACTTCTCGACGTCTAAAGGGCACTCTGGACACACTGGTTCCCTTGGCGTCAGTGACCGGTCCTCAACAGGGAGTCCTCGGCGCTTGTCACCCAGAGGGACAGTCGATCCCTCGACCGTGATATAATAATTTTTTTTTTTAATCCTACCGGAGAAACTCCGCCTAAATTTTTACCTAATAGATGGGTGCTAAAATTTCCAGAGACTCAATTTCTCATTGCAAAGGGTTACTTGAAAGTTCAGCCCAACAAATGGCGTGAGAAAATCGCACCATTCGCTGTATAAGACAGTAACAACATACGATATAGGTAAATGTAATAATTCCCTGAAAAGAAAAAGGCAGTGATATTCCTGAAACATTAGGTGATGACACGTCATCTTAAAAATATACAATTTTAGAGAACAAGACCATTTAATTAGCAGCGTTTCATTGCTAGATGGTTGTATGTTGTAGTAGTAGGATCGGTCTTGTACATATAAAATGTAAACGTTTAGGATTATCAATTTTTTGCACTGGTTTTATTAATGAACCTATAGACGTGAAACATGTACCGTTTGAGGTGTGGTGTAACAACAAATTTATTTTATGTGGCAATGGATTCATAATGGTATAACAACAAGGAATTCAATTAACCAAACCAATTGTTACATTGTTCCAAAGTAATATAATTGTTATAAACAGTAAATGCTCTACAAAGTTAGGATAAATCATGTTGTTAAATTACCATATGAAAACTTTTTTATGCTAGGGCTACCTTATTGGTAGTATATATTTCTAAATATTAGATTAGATCTGGTTAAAATATTATCAAAATAAAAAAAATAAACAAACTTAACAGAACTCTACCAATATATATGAATATAAATAAATATAAAATTTTCAGTTTTGTTACCTTCCGAGGAAAAAAAAATAGTTTTTCAATCATAGGTGGTTTATATGTGAATTGTGGGAAACACCTGCTAGAAGCACTGTTTTGAGCAGACTGTTGGTAGAGCAGACCCGTGCTTGGGTCCAAGTATTTAGTGCAAGTAGTGCCTAAAACTGAGAAGATGTTTAGTTCATAAATTAGAATTATGATATTATAATTATTTTTTATTTATGTGTATTTTTTATGAGAAAAAATATTATATCGAATCATGAATTATGATTCAAATCATGGTATGAATCTCCTTACTAAATGTTTCTTAAATAATAGATCTTAAATGGAAAGAAATTAATGAGAAATAAATAAATCATTAAAAAAGGAAAGAAATTAATGAGAAATAAATAAATCATTGAAAAAAAGGAAAGAAATAAATTAGCTTGCAAACCGAAAATAAAAACAAAAACTTATCAAAAATTAATAAAAATTAAATAAAAACAAAAAAACGAGGGCAAAGTGGTAATTGAAGGAAAGGTGTTGTCAATCAATAGAAAAGAGTGAAGAAACAAAATCATGTTATTCCCTCATATTTTTAACCCAATCGCTTTATCCTGTCTCCATCCATCATCTCTCTCTCTCTCTCTCTCTATCTTTCTCTCTCTATTTCACTGTCAACCTCTTTCTGTTTCCACAAAAGCCCAAAAGCACCTTCCTTGCCACTTACCCCATTTTCACATTTTTTTACCATTTAAAATTTAAAAAAGAAAAAAAAAAAACCTCAGACTCTCTTTTCTATTTTTTTTGCTTCTACTGTATTTGGAAAAAAAAAAAAAAAAAAAAATCTGCCAGTTCTACGTATAGTACTCCTCTCTCTGTATAATATCATATGTTCTCAGAAAATAAAAGTTATACACATCATAACCCCTTTAAAGGGTTTTCTAGGATTAATCAAACAAAAGATACTAAAGAAAGAAAAACATCAGCAGTTTTAAGCGAAAGAGAAAGGGATTGAAGTTAGCCCTAGTATACTGGTCCAAGTCCTACTATTACTACTACTGTTGTTTTCCACCCTCCTATATATTATCATCACCAACCCTATTCTCTCTCTCTCTCTCTCTCCCCTCTCACTCTCTCTCCTCTTTTTTTTCCCTAATAAACAGCACTAACATCTTATGCAAGTTTCACCTCAACCAGTCCTTTGATGATTTGAAGCTCCAAAGTCACATATCATATCCTCAATTCTTCATCCTCGAAACCCAGAAATGATCCCCTTATGGAAACAAAACCCTTAGCTATTAAAAACTATTACTGATATTATTCAAACTCCAAAAGTAGTATTGATCCAATTAAGATCTCAAAAAAAAAAAAAAAAAACCATGGATTCAGTCCAAGAATTTGAAACCTCAAACAGTACACAAACCCCATCAACCCTACTAGTGAACATCAACCTCAACCCTACAGATCATACAAGTATTATTAGCAACACCGCGAACTCCTCGTCGTCGTCGTCGTCATCGTCGCCATCGTCTTCGTCGTCGTCCCCGACAACTCTCAGCCGCTACGAGAACCAGAAGCGGCGGGATTGGAACACCTTCGGGCAGTACCTGCGGAACCACCGGCCGCCGCTCTCGCTGGCCCGGTGCAGCGGGGCCCACGTGCTGGAGTTCCTCCGGTACCTCGACCAGTTCGGGAAGACAAAGGTGCACACCCAGCTCTGCCCTTTCTTTGGCCATCCGAACCCCCCGGCGCCCTGCCCCTGCCCGCTCCGCCAGGCCTGGGGCAGCCTCGACGCCCTCATCGGCCGCCTTCGGGCCGCCTTCGAGGAGCACGGGGGCAAGCCCGAGGCCAACCCCTTCGGCGCCCGGGCCGTCAGGCTGTACCTGCGAGAGGTCCGGGACTCGCAGGCTAAGGCCCGGGGGGTTAGCTATGAGAAGAAGAAGAGGAAGAGACCGCCGCAGCCTCCCGCGGCGCTTCCGCCGACAGGACCCGGCCCGGCTGCTCCGGGTGCAAGTGGTTAGTAAGAATAATTATAAGGTGTTTGTGTTGAAAAAAGAAAAAATGGAAGGAAAATTAATTATTCTATGTTCCGATGAAGAAGGGTAGCACTATATATACTTTCTTTTACCTTATAATGTTCTAAGGTTTGTGAATTTTTTATTTGTGTTGTTCTGATATGAATATAATATGATCTCCCTATTTAGATTAATTATGCTTTTAATTTCCCATATTTAGAATCATGCTTTTCTACAAAAAAAAGGAATAAGTGCTATAGAATTCGTCTCAACCTAATTGGAATGTGCTTTCAGTCCCTTTATGCTAATTAGAAGAAAATGTTTACTGCTGGCAATATTGTTTTTTAGCTTGCTACAGAAACCCGATGTATAACCATAATTAAGCAAATACATACATGCCCTAGTAGAATTTAATCAAGGATTTTTTTTTAATAATGTTTTTATTGAGAATTGTGTATATATATATATATAATATAATGGCTATATATAAATACGTGGCAGGTAATTATGTATGCATAAGGTATTCATTATCTGATTTAAAAGCACGCAAACAGGAGGTTTAGTAGCAGTATTAGTGGAAGTGTTTAAGGGAAAAAGTTGTAGTGGGAGTAGTGTTTGTACTGGTTGAGGCTTGACTAAACACACAATCGATGTCTGTCTATTCTGAAAAGTCATTTGTGATAAGTAATAGATTTGCAGATGATGTTCTATGTCTTTTTCGAGTTTTTTTTTAATCATTTTTTGCGTTGTTTGTTCAGATTTTTAGTGTGTTGGCAAATCATATAATTCATCAGCAATTTAGAAGGCTGAATACATATACGAGTTATTCTTTTTCTTTTTAACTTTGAGGGTGAATATATATGTTCGTATATATATATATATATATGTATATAACTTAATTATTTTGATTGGATTGTGAGCGTGTCAGATTTGTCTAGCTATCACCATATATAGTACTTTTTTTTTGTGCTTTCCATTTCTTGCATCAGACACAGAGACAGAGAACCACCTGCTCAATTTTCTCCCCCTTTTCACTTATGACGCTAGCTTTTCTTCAGCGTGGAAATAAGTGAAGAAAAATACTAAAATCCCTCGAGTACCGGTTTATTTGCTTTAACCAGTAGATATATAGAAGGTTTTAGTACTTCCAGTGAAGCCTTTGACATTTTAATTATTATGAATTTTTTAATGTCTTTGAATTATTGATTCAAAGTGATATAGCTCTGTGATCTATGTATCTTGTTTAATATGGCATTATATCACACAATCCTTGCATAACAATTGCTCTCTTGTCCATCAGACACTGATATTCCAGTTGGTTCTTCAACAATCAACGCATTTTGATAAGTTAGATCCTGAGAATTGAAGATAATACTATCTGATGATCGTATGTGATCTATATATATATATATATATACACATAATTGTTTTGAAGCATGCATATATACATTTATTAATGAATTGATCATCTCTTCAACTTCTGCAACTGACGTATCTTTGATTATACATACATTCATACAGACATATGTACATACATACGTACGTACATACACACACACACACACACATATGTATATATATGTGTCTTTGAAACTACAGTTAATATTAATGTATGTCCTCCAACATCCATCTACCAATTCATACCTTTTGATAGTCATGATTTTGACTATCTTAACTTAAGCAAGCTGCATGCCCCATGAAGGAAATCTATATCTAGGCTTATAAATACACTATACATATGCCTTCTTAGGTATTACATAAAAGAATCCCCACTTGAAATTATTAACCAATAGGAAAAGAAAAGTAATCATTATAATACATTGAAAAGGCAGTATCTTTCAAATGGTTTTTTTTTTTTTTTCTTTCTAATTCATTTGTTTGAAGTGGATCTATTATGCCAAGCAATACTATTGGATTTTTATCAAAAGAGGTGCTTATTTTATTATAACATGCTTATCATTACACGTCAAATTTTTTAAGGTTGAGCTTTGGATCCCATTTGATGCTGGATCTTTCATTTTGTATCTTTATGATGCACAGTTGCAATCAATTCAGCATTATGAATAGAATCATTAAAATTCTTGTATGACAGATATTTAATAATTGGTGCTGATCTAGTGGCTTACTCATATAAACATATATATGATTGTCTCGATGCGATCGTCATGTTCATGGATGAACATCTATATATGTGCATGTCCACATGATATGAATACATATACCTTGTATATATATATATATATATATATATATATATTAGTTATACCTTGTATTTTGTGTGTGCGTGTGTGCGTATAGCTCTCATCATTCCAGTATTTCGTGACGTGGCTTTGATTTTTATTTTTGGGATAAGATTTAGTTAAAGTGTATAGAAAGCATGCATATATATAATATATCTTGTTACTTGTAGGATATATGTTATTCAAACGTATGGTAACATTTTGTTATTTATTGCTTTGTATCGGTCTATGCTTATTTTTGTTTTGTTTGCATTTGCTTTTTTTTTTTTTTTGGCTTTTTATGCTTTTGTTTTGTGTAAAACATTTTACTTTTTTCTTTAAAAAAGCATCTACCTTTTTTTTCTTTTTTCAATAAATTTTTTGCTTTAAAAAAATGGTTTCTTGACATGATTAACAATATAATTAACATGGTTGTTTAATTAATTAACAAAAATTGATCAATTTCTTTTGAAACATCTTTGCCTTGGACTAAGATCATGACTTCCTTTTTGCATACATATCATATATATATATATATATATATATATATATTTATAATGTGTCCTGTATTGTCTGATAGTACGGCATATATAAGTCGACCATCTTTGACTGACCACACGCATATGTATGTATGTGCTTGTTCAGATGGCATGAAAAGCAAACCAAGAAAATTTAACTCATTAGTAGATATAGCTTCATCCATAGTCCCTACATAATTATAATATATACATATATATGTGTGTGTGTATTATATGCATGCATCTCTAAAGTAATATTAAAATGATCATCACAATACCTAACAGTGGTACATAATTAGATTACAAGCTAAGCTATTTCGCGCTTCACATGAGTCCCTTAAGTAAACAATCAATAAATCACTGTCCACCTTTGAACATCAGAATGCGTAAATTAGGAATTACTTCTGATCTGATTTGATCAGGGTTTGGCCTAGTTCGATGCAGGACCTCAAAATTCTTTCATAATTTTAAAATTACCACGGAATATTGCAAAATGATTTTCAATTCTTTCGCCTTTTATTGGTCGACACTTAGCTTCCCATTTTCCTCTTTCTTGACAAACACACCCTAATGAAGATCATGATGTGTCTGATATTTCAATTATAAAGTCTCAGTTTCTCACGTTTCCCATGTGATCTATATAAGCGATTATATATAAGAATAAGTTAATCAAGTAATTGAGACCAACTTGCACGGTGTGATTTATGGCGGTATCCCGATTATTCATTTTAGCTATTGATAATGTCTAGCTCAGTTGTTAATTTCGGGATTCTATCTTGAGAATTTCAATCAGTTTACATATATATAAATATATATTTATATTTATATAATATATATACATATATATAATATATAATATATCAGTTTACATATAATATATATATAATCTAATGTTGAATTTGTAAGCGTTCTCAGCGTGTGTTTGTGTTGTCCGCTCCCTAATTCACTATTATATATATATATATATATATATATATGTATATGTATTTCTTTTTTATTTAATAAATTGAGTGAGTGCTCGGTGTTTAGTTTCGAGTTTTATGTGTATCAATTATCTTGTTGCGATGCGCTAAAGTTCTCTACCGGTGTTTCTTTTTTTTTTTTCTTTCTTCTTTTGCTTAAAAAAAAAAAAAAAAAACCACGACCAACTTGTACGATATGCCAAAGTTGTGGTTGTTGTAAAATTAATCTCTTAAATCTATGATTGCTATGCTTAATAAAATTTGTAGCATTCTAATATAATACTTAAATTAAGTTAGAAAATGTGTAAAACATGCTTGGTTAATTTGATTTCGTTTTTTCACTTTACAAAGCGATGCAAACGTGTATGCATAATGCGAGTAATTAATTTGGTAATATAACTAGCTATCGTAGCTACATATATGCATATAATAGATAACCATGCACCATAGAATATAACCATTAAAAACTCATCAATATATATGATCCATTAATAAGTACAAAAGTTAATTTTCCCTAATTTGGATCTCAAATGTATACAGAATCATCAGTAGTTATTATTGTGTTGACTATTTTATATTAATCTTTTATTAACAAATATTAATTTTATTGTTAAATTTTCTTCTAATTAATATTATTAGAAAAGTACGGTAAAAAAAGAAAAATATTTTTTGCGACGACTAATCTAAAATGTCGTTGCAAATAGTCAACATTAGTAGCGACGACACTTTGAAGCATATGGCCGCAAAAGGTTTTAAAAACTTTTGCGACGACATATATCATCGCAAATAAGTTAGGACACGTCATCATCAATGACATATTCGACAGAACATTCATGACGACCGTCGTCTACGACCATCATCGCTAATATATTAGCGACGTCATCTCAAAACTATATCGTCACAAATATATTATTTGCATCTAATTGTTTACGACGACTAATTTGTGACGACATGTTGTCACAAATATAATATTTCTGATGACTATATAGTTAGTTGCGACAACATTACGTCGTCGCAAATAAGCTTTTTTTGTTGTAGTGTTATATTATGTTTTAAAGAATCAAGCAATCTTGATCAGGGACTTTTCAACTTCATCCAAGATTTTTAAAGTTGTGGATTGTTTTATCGGGTTTATGATATTCTACTCCTGCACGTTAGGTCAACTTTTAACACCCAATTAGCCGAAATATATGACCTTATTATAACGTGTATATCTTCAGCATATATATTTGATACATCTTCTCTGTCCCGCTCCTCATTTTTCTCAGTTCTTTTATATGTATTTGTTGATATGTTTAGCTGCAATATATGCGTACTTGTTCTATGGCCATGACTAAATTAACTACTATATAAACTTTTCAAAATACTAAGTTTTTTTAAGATGAATTTTATTGTCCTTTTCTTTTATCTTTTATCTCTGTCTATATATCTATTCATATTTTCGTATTTCTTTTTCCAAATGAATCAAATATGTAAT